CCCAGACTCAAAACAATGTCTGCAACTGACTTCCACCTAGTTAACAGTAGTATTTTTTACAAGATACTAAGAAACTCACTGACACTGAATGACATTTTGATACCCAGTTACCAAACTCTGTTTTTATTCTTTCCTTTCTGTATCTTTGATCTTCTTAAGATTATATAATTTCAATGGAAGGATCTCTTTTTAAAACATATTTGCAAGTACTAACACACATATACTTTAATTGTAAAATAATATTACAATAAACAATAACAATAATAAGAGGATGTGAGAGTTGGACCATAAAGAAGGCTGAGCACCAAAGAATTGATGCTTTCAAACTGGAGAAGGCTCTTGAGAGCCCTCTGGAAAGCAAAGAGATCAAACCACTCAATCCTAAAGGAAATCAATCCTGAATATTCATTGGAAGGACTGATGCTGAAGTTGAAGCTCTAATACTTTGACTGCCTGATACAAAGAGTCGACTCATTAGAAAAGACCCTGATGCTGTGAAAGATTGAGGGTAGAAGAAGGAGGCGACAGAGGATGAGATGGTTGGATGGCATCACCGACTTCAATAGAAATGAGTTTGAGCAAACTCTGGGAGATGGTGAAGGACAGGGAAGCCTGGCATGCTACAGTCCACAGGATCACAAAGAGTCGGATACCACGTAGCTACTGAACAATGAATGACATCTGCTACATATGGGCCACCAATCAAGAACCTAATGGTGAGGTCAAACTGGAGTTAAGTTGGACCTCTAATACAACATGACTGGTTTCCCTTCACCATGCGAAGGGACAGATGTGTACACATGGAGAATGCCATGTGAAGACTTAAGTTATGCTGCCACAAGCCAAAGAACTAACAGAAACAAAGAGAGAAGCCTGGAATGGATGGATCCTTCCCTAGTGTCTTCAGAAAGAGCAGCACCCTACCAATACCTTCATTTCAGATTTCTGTCCTCCAGAACTGGGAGACAATAAACCTTGTTGTTCTAAGCCATCCAGTTTGTGGTATTTTCTTATAGAAGGCCTAGGAAACTAATAAGCTTGCATGCCTGCGTGCGTGCTCAGTCGTGTGCAACTGTTTGCAACCCCATGGACTTAGCCCACCAAGCTCCTCTGTCCATGGGATTTTCCAGGCAAGAACACTGGAGTGGGTTGAAATTTCCTCCTGCAGTGGCTCTTCCCAACCCAGGGATCAAACTCATGTCTCCTGCAGCCCCTGCATTGGCAGACAGATTTACTACTGAGCCACCTGGGAAGCCTAGGTAACTAATATATCCTAACTTTAATAATCAAAAACCAATGATTCTCAAGTGTGTCTTTCTCATCTAAACTTTTCCTGGGATTCATATGCACACACACAATAGCTTCTTAGATATTTCCCATCTTTACAACATTTCTTAAAATGACACGAGATTCAAAATGTTGCCTATCATGTAATCCTCCTGATGAAGTCTGCTCTATTTGTGAATTGTTTTTTATTTATTAAATTGATTTATTTATTAAAGAAGGTACCACCTTCTTTAATGCCCCTTCCCTTGATTTTCCCATCTAAAATTTTCAGGGTCAGTGAATTCTACATTTTAATAACCCTCTGGTGATGGTTAATTTTATGTGTCAGCTTGACTGGGCCATGGTATCCACATATTAGTTCAGAGTAATGAGGGTGTTTTTTCATGAGATAAATATTTAAGTCAATGAATTTTTTAGCAAATCAGATCGCCCTTTGTAATGCAGGTGGGCCTCATCCAATCAACTGAAGTTCTGAATAGATCAAAAAACTGATTGCTTCTGAGCAAGAGGGAATTCTACCAGCAGATTGCCTTTGGACTTGAACTGCAACATTGGTTCTTCCCTGGCTCTCCAGGGTGCCATCCTACTCTGCAGATTTTCGACATGCCAGCTTCTATAATCACATGAGCCAATTCCTTAAAATAAATCTGTCTATACATATCCACAACATATAGAATAGAATACACTTCTTACTGGTGACTTCTGTAATGGCACTACCACTGCATTAATTCAGGCCACCATCTTCTCTTGTCAAGAATGTGATAACCTCTTAACCTCTGTTGTCTCATGCTGTTTCAGTCAATTCTCTATGCTTTTGTCAAAATGATCTTTCTAAGAAACCTATAAAAGCACATTAACTTTCTATTTAGAAGCATTCATAGGTTTACCATAGCTCTCAGAGTAAGACCCTTAGCATAACCAAGAGAATGCACAATCTATCCTCTACCTCTTTCAGCCTCTTCTCTCAGTACTCCTCCATGCACAAAAGGGAGCTAATATTCAGTGCTATTCCACTGACTCTATCACCTATTAAGTAAGAACTTCCTGCAAATACCCACTGCCATGCTGTGCTCTAGTCCTTTCCCTAATTGAGTGATCATCAGTCAGGACCTGTTCTTTTGATCCTAATTATGAAACTTGCTTGCTAAATTATGTTGATACTATCTTATTTTACCTTGGCAGTTTACTTTTTTCTTTTCATTATTTTTAAAATGTTCTGGTGGCTCAGACATTAAAGAATCTGCCTGCAATGCAGGAGACATAGTTTCGATCCCTGGAATTTTGAAGATCCCTTGGAGAAGGGAATGGCTACTCAGTCTAGTATTCGTGTGTGGAGAATCCCATGGACAGAGAAGCCTGGCAGGCCACAGTCCACGGGGTGGCAAAGAGTTGGACACCACTGACAAAGTAACACTTTCCCCTTTCCCCTCACAGTGATTTACAATATTGTGTAAGTTTCAGGTGTACAGTGCAATGATTCAGTTATATGTGTGTGTATACACACACACACACATAAACACACACACACACACACACACACATACATATATATGGCAGAAGATATATCCCACCCAATCCAAACAGACAGAAAATAACTAGGCTTGGGGAAAGACCTCACCTTTAACACAGATTTTATGGAGTGGGCATGAATCAGCAAAGAAACAGAATGAAAAACACCTCAATCTCCACACCTTGAAATGTGTGTGTCTATGAGTATATGTGTGTGCTTGTGTTTGGGAGACCCAAATGTTCCACTGAGATTCTGCCTAACTCAAAATTAGGGATGTTGGCGTATCTGTGCAGTGACTAGCAAGAGCTGTCATGCTCCATTTTCCTCTGAGTAAATCAGTCATTTATTGAGAACATATATATATATATATATTTATATTCTTTTTTACATTCATTTCCATTATGGTATTTTACAAGATACTGAATATAGTTCCCTGTGCCATAAGTGGGACCTTGCTGTTTATCCATTCTGTATACTTTTTTTCTTTGAAAATTATGCTTATTTCCTGGGCAAAAAAATAAACTGTAGTCACTTCCTAAAATTTGTATGTATTTTAAAGGTATGAAGAAAATGGTAGCAATATCACTTTAGAAGATTTGCCAAATATCACTTTAGAAGATTTATGGCAGAATAATTGACAATGGGGCTTCCATAGTGGCTCAGATGGTAAAGAATCTGCATGCAATGCAGGAGACTGGGGTTCGATCCCTGGGTAAGGAAGATACCCTGGAGAAGGGAGTGGCAACCCACTCCAGTATTCCTGCCTGGAGAATTCCATGAACAGAGGAGCCTGGTAGGCTACAGTCTGTGGGATTGCAGAGTTGGATGCGACTGAGCGACCAACACTTTCACTTTCAATTATAATAAATACTTGTAATTAAAAATGCATAACAATAATTAAAAATTAACTTTGGCCACAGACTGCCTAGGTTCAGATCTTGGTTCTACCTCCTACTCTCTATGTCAACTTGGACAACTCCCTTAACTTCTTTGTGCCTCAGTTTCCTCATCTTAAAATGAGATAGTAATACTCTTCTATTAGGGTTTTGTGAGGATTAAATATATTCAAATACATAAAATCCTAGAACACAGTAAATTCCTGATACACAGTAAGTACTGTATGTTTGCTGTTGTTGCTCTTGTTATTATTTGACAATGGCATTTATAAGGGTACAGATGCTATCACCAGACTATTTAGATTCTAATCTTGCTGCTAATACTTCCTATTTGTGTGACCTTGGCAAGTTCCTTAATTTCTGTGACCTTGGCAAGTTCCTTAATTTCTCTGAGCTTCAGTTTCCTCGTCTGTAAAATGAGATAATAATAGCATCTGTCTCAGAGAGATGCTATGAAGATTAACGTTCTTAAAATATGTGAAAGCCTTAGAACAGTGCTTGGCACATGGTAAACATTATACAGTGCTTGCAATTCTGAATATCATATATTTAGAAACAGGTGGTCCATATTAATCATATTATCTTGCATCCTGTTCAGATTTTGTTTTGTTTTTAAATTCTCTAACTCTCAGTGGCAAAGGCTATGCTTTTTCATTATTCAGTTGCAGGTACTTGATGCTGATCACTTTCTTACCTCCCTCTCTTCTTTAAAAAGAAAACAAAACCAAAGCAAAAAGATCCACCTTTTATAGGCAGTCATTCTTGCTAACCAAGAAAACAACTTACTTCATACTATGTGGATATACCAGTATTTTATTCGTAGGCTCACAGCTGGACAAGGTGCTTTCTCCCTACTTTTTTTCAGCTTTTAATAGTGCTGTCAATATCCATTAAGACGTGAAATGTTTAAGATTCCAAAGGAGGGTGTTAGTCGTTGCTGTATTATCAACAGGCACGTGCCAATAAAACCATAAGGCTCATCTCCCCAGACCAGTGTTTCTCTTTTCCTCTCACTCTCTTCTTCTATTACCACTGCCTCATTCAGAACATATATAATTTGATTAAAAAAATGAAAAGAAAGAGTGTTGCAACAACATATTACCTTGCATTGGCTATCAAAAATCCTGTGTTCAGTGTAGGATGACAAGAAATAAAGATAATAATGAGAGACATTTGATAAAGGTAACTCATAATATGGTAAATTTTCTACCAAAACCATAATTATTCAGTTTATAATTCAAAATTAATTAAATGCAATTACTTTACACTTCATATGTCTTTTTTTTTTAAATGGAAGCACTTCATACCTTTGTTTATATCAATGAGTTGTTTCTTTTTCTTCTGGCGTTCCAACTTTTCTTGTTCAGCTTTCTCTTTTGCAAGCTTTGCCCTCCTAGTCTTCTCTTCCAGTTCTTTTCTCTTGTGGTTATCTTTCACTGCTTCCTGTACATATAAACAAAGTTAAAAATTCTTACATTGCCTATATATTAGAGGACTTGTGCAATTTTAAAATTCTAAATACACATGTGTAGATGTTCAGAGATGGAATAGTTTTATAGCAGCTTTTAGGTATGTGCATGTACTTTTGAGAGGATGAAATAACCTAAGATATTTCTTCTTGAAAAAAAAAAAGGTATATTCAGGATTTAATTGCTATTACCTGGGGTGCTAGAAAATTAGAAACATGAATATTTACAGATTTACCAATAAACATTCTGTCTCTGTTGTTGAAATATGAAATAGCTTTGATACACAAGAAAAAGTTTAATAGGGAAATATGGTTAGCAGGTATTCTACCACTTTTTTTTTACACTTTCCCCTTTCCTGAAAAATGTTTTTTTAAAACCAACTGATAAGATTTTGTGAGGAAAAATGAGACACATTTATAAAGAACTTAGAACACTTAGTCTATGACAATGATGGTGGTGGGTGTGGTGGTGGTCATCATTAAATCTAATGGTGCAAGACATGAAACAATCAGCCATATTGTCACAGGAAAGACAAACCTGCAAGTTTAATAGCATTTACATGTCAAGATCTTTAGGAATGCTGAAATGTACTTCCAGTTATTGTGTGTTTTATTTTGCATAGATTATGTGTGGAACTCAAGGTAATCAGTACATTTCATCAGACAGTATGGGATAAAGTTAGAGTTAAAAGTTCAGTTGGACTAATAGTACTTTAGAGAAGAGTCATTTTAGAGAAATCACTAATACAGAGACACATCAACTCCAAGTTCCTTCCATCAAATTGTTCTGCTTTTCTTTTTCCTATTCTAATTCATTAGACCTATTTCACAGCATGTACCAACTATTTCACAAAAGCTATTTTGTTCCAAAAACCCCAAAGAAGACTCAATAACAAGAATACATCTACAAGGCTTGGCCTGGAGGTACCTATATTGAAATATTTTTTCTACATATTAAAAGATATAATAGTTTTAATTTATTTAGTTTTAAAAACCTTTATTTGTATTTATTTATTTGACTGTGCCACGTCTTAGTTGCAGCATGCAGGATCAATCTTCATTGTGGCATGAGGGATCTTTTTTTTAGTTGAGGCATGTTGGAATCATTAGTTGGAGCATGTGGGATCTTAGTTCCCCAACCAGGGGTCGAACCCAGGCCCCCTGCAATGGGAGTATGGAATCTTAGCCACTGGACTACCAGGGAAGTCCCTATAATAGATTTCAAAAGCCTTTTAAAAGCACTTTCAAAATATTCTTCTGATTTGCAAGAATTATTGGTACCTCTCCCTTCTACTACTGCTATCACACTAGCACATCTAGAATTATGCTAAGGGCACAAAATACTCTGGCTCCTGTAGACAAACTCAAAGATTTACCACTTAGACTTGAATAATAGAATCATAATTTTGGAGCAGCGTTTCTCAACTTCAGCACTGCTGTCATTTGGGGCAAGACAATTCTTGGTTGTAGGCTTCCCAGGTGGCTCAGTGGTAAAGAATCCGCCTGACAAGCAGGAGACATGGGTTTGATCCCTGGATTAGGAAGGTCCCCTGGAGAAGTAAATGGCAACCCATTCCAGTATTCTTGCTGGGAAATTCCATGGACAGAGGAGCCCAATGGGCCACAGTCCATGGGGTCACAAAGAGTTGTATACAACTTAACAACAACAATAAATTCTTTGTTGGGGGAGTGTCATGTGTCTTGTAAGATATTTAGCAGCACTCTTGACCTCCACTGCCTAGATGCCGGTAGCACCTCTTTCTGGTTGTGACAGCCCAAATGTCTCCAGAGACTGGCAGATGTTACCCAGGTTGAGAACCACTAACCTAGGGGGTTTTATAGAAATTATTCGCCAAAAATTGAAAATTGCCTGTTCCGCTGAAAGCATCTTTTTTTTGCAGATATGGAAACTGAGTTCTGAATGAGTTTAACTACTTGTCTAAGGTCACACATTTAGGTAATTGCAAAGTTGGGAAAAGAACTCATGTCTCTCCTCAGTGTTTAATGTTTGTTTGATTCTTTGAGAAAGAAAAGATAAGTGGATATGACACCAAAAGCACAGACAACCAAAGAAAGAAACAGATAAATAAAACCTCATCAAAACTAAAAACTTTTATCTATCAAAGAACATTGTCAAGGGAATTCTCTGGCGGTCCAGTGGTTAGAACTTGGCACTCTCACTGCCAGGGCCTGGGTTCAATCCCTGGTTGGGGTACTAAGGTCCCACAAGCTGTGTGGTGCAGCCAAAAGGGAGGGGAAAAAAAAAACAAACCACTGTCAAGAGAGTGAAGAGACAACCCACAGAATGGGAGAAAATATTTGTAAGTCGTATATCTGATAGGAATATATAAATCTTTTACTACTCAACCATAAAAAGACAAATAACCCAACTAAAAATGGGCAAAAGATTTAAACTGATATTTCTGCAAAGCAGATAGAGAGCCAATAAGTATACAAAAAGACATTTGACATCATTAGTCACTAGGGAACTGCAAATCAAAATCACAATGAGGTACCACTTTATGAATACTAAGATGTCTATAATAAAAAAACAACAAAACAGATAATAACAAGTGAGGAATTGGAAAAATTCAAATGCCTTGCATTGCTGGTGTGAAAGTAAAATGGTGAGTCATCTTGGAAAGCTGTCTGAGTTCTTCAAAATGCTAAACATAGAGTTATAATAGGACCCAACAATTCCACTTCTGGATATGTATCCAAGAGAAAAGAAAACACATGTTCATACAAAAACTTGTGCAAGATTTTTCATTAGAAGAATTATTTCCAATAGCCAATAAGTGGAGACTACTCAAAGGTCTATCAGCTGATAAATGGATAAATAAAATGTGGTATATACTGTTTATGGAATATTATTCGACCATAAAAAGAATAAAGTACTGATATATGACACAATATGAATGAACCTTAAAATATTATGCTAAGTGAAAGAAGTCAAACACAAAAGGCCACATATGGTATGATTCCATTCATATGTAGTGTCCAGAATAGACAAATCCATGGAGAGAGAAAGTAGACTATTGGTTGACAGGAAAAGGAGGACTGGGGAATAGAGAATGACTGTTAATGAGTATGGGGCTTCTTTTTGGTCTTGATGAAAATGTTCTGGAATTACGTAGTGGTGATCATTGCAGAAACTTGTGAATATATTAAAAACCACTGATTTGGTACTTCAAAAGAGTGAATTTTATGATATGTAAATTATATCTCAATAAAAATTAATAAAATAAAAAATAAGTATTTGAAAAAGGCAGGATTGAAATAAAATTGTAACTTAGAAAAAAAGGCAACATGCAAAGGCAACATACATTCAGGCTCTGATACTAACAAGTTGCATGATCTATGGTAAGTAACGTAAGAGGAGGTGAGTAGCAGAAGAGAGAAGGGAGGTTAATGCTTGTGTATATTTTATTACCAGTCAGATTTCTGATCTGGTGAACCATCAACCAACATCTGGATGGATGCTTCCATTATCAGTCTACTGGACTATTTAGCTGTTGAGTGCTGTCATTTATTATGAAGATAGAAAAAACTGGTAACTTGCAGTTGTATTTCTTTCTTGTCCTGATAATAACAGCTATTTTTTAATGGAAATTTATTATGTGCCAGGTATTTAAAGTAAAGAACTTCAAATACTTATAGAAAACCTACAAAACAACTAGTATTTGTTCTCATTTTACAGATGGTAAAACTTAGGTTCAGGTAGGTTAAATGAGATGTCCAAGGCTCTGCAGGTACTTAAATACCAGAACCACAAATGTTCACTCACATTACCATGATGCCTTCCAAATAAAGTTGTCAGATAAAACACAGGACACTCAGCTAGATGTGAATGTCAGATAGTATTTCATTCTTTTTTATGACTGAGTAATAACGTGAATTTTTCTTTTTTTTTTTAATTTAAGTATATCCCATTCAATACTTAGCATATACTTATAATAAAAAATTCCATGCAATAGTTGGGACATCTTGATACTAAAACTCATTCATTCTCCATGCAATATTTGGGATATACTCATTTTAGAAATTCAGGTAATATGTGGGACATTGATAACAAAAGATTTTAGCATAGTTTATCTGAAATTCAACTTTAACTGGGCATCTAGTATTTCTATGTGAAAAATGTGGCAACCTTATTCCCAAGACTGTTGATGTTTTTATAAGTATTCTCTTGTAGACTAAGATTACATAATGAAGATTGTAGAATAATTATAAAAATACAAAAAATCCCAAATATAAACTATACTCTGAGAACAGAAATGATATAGATCATTGATAGGCATTATGTGGTTCATGAGCTTGACTCATACCATTTCTATAGTATTCTTCACATTTTGTTCCTTTTATTTTATAAAAACAAAACTAAAAAAAGTTTATATAAAAATCTAAACTAATACAATTTAGAAGAAAATCAGTCAATAATATCACCGAATCACTAGTAGAAAAATTCGTCATACGGGAATGGGTTAAATTTCTATATGAAAGGGAGACTTGGAACTGGCACTTATAAAACACCATGAATGGAAGTCTATAAACAATGAAACAGAACAAGTAATAGGTCCATCAGTTGACATCTTAAATGTTTCAGGAACAAATTTAACTATGAAACAGTCACACAGTTTGAAATGGCATAATGACGTACTCTTAAAGAGACCAAAACAAAGAGGAAAATAATTTCTGTGGCTTGGCAATAATAGAAATGAATGCAGACATCTACAAAGGCATGTATTTTTCAAGCAACACAGACTGTGGAGTAAGATTCAGTTCTGATATCACCAATTCTGTCTTCATGAAGAAGCATCATGCTAAAAAGAAGATCCTATTCCTCTTGGTGGTTTTACTCTTTGGCTCTGGCTTTAGGAAATTAGGGATGGGAAACACATGCCTATTTAATTCTCCCTACATAGGAAATAAATTTACAATGAGAAAGGGAAATCTTAACTATGGTTCCATATCA